GCTTACCCTGAGGGTTTCCAGCTTCACACTCTAAAATAATGGCAGGCTGGCGCCGTGGCTCACTAGGCTAATCCTCCGCCTGTGGCGCCTGCACCCCGGGTTCTAGTCCCGGTCGGGGCGCCGGATTCTGTCCCGGTTGCCCCTCTTCCAGGCCAGCTCTCTGCTATGGCCCGGAAGGCAGTGGAGGATGGCCCAGGAGGAAGCACCTGGCTCCTGGCTTTGGATCGGCACAGCGCCAGCCGTGGCGGCCATTGGGGGAGTGAACCAACAGAAGGAAGACCTTTCTCTCTGTCTCTCTCTCTCACTGTCTGTAACTCTACCTGTCAAATAAAATAAAAAAAAAATAATGGCAGACCCACAGGAAGTTGCCAAGACTGTGCGAGGGAGATCCTGTGTGCCCTTCACTCAGCTTCTGCACTGGGGCCGTTTTATGTAACTTTAGAACATGACAGAACCAGGAGATTGATCTCGGTGGAAGACCTCATTCAGACTTCATCAGGTCCACATGTGCTTGCCTGTGTGTGTGTGTGTGTGTGTGTGTGTGTGTGTGTGTGAAGTCTGAAATTGTATCACGTGTAGATATTAGTTACCATGTTCTGTGACTAAATCATTTACCTAGACATATAAAGGAGGGGCTGGTGCTGTGGCGTAGCGGGTAAAGCCACCACCTGCATTGCCAGCAGTTCATATGGGCTCCGGTTCAAGTCCCGGCTGCTCTAGTTCTGATCCAGTTCTCTGCTGTGGCCTGGGAAAGCAGTAGAAAATGGCCCAAGTGCTTGGGCCCCTGCACCTGTGTGGGAGACCTGGAAGAAACTCCTGGCTCCTGGCTCCAGATTGGTGCAGCTCCAGCCATTTGTGGCCATTTGGGGAGTGAACCAGCAGATGGAAGACCTCTTTCTCTCTCTGCCTCTCCTTCTCTCTCTGTGTAACTCTGACTTTCAAATAAATAAATGCAGCTTTAAAAAAAGACATATAAAGGGAAATTTGAAATAAGAAGTCTAATGGGAGAGAGAGAACCATGTAATGAACTGTTGGTGTGTAAGACACTCAAGAAAATGTAGAAATGATTCATCTAAAAAACAATGCCCCTGCATGTGGGAGCTGTACGTGGTGCACTGCGCAGTGTGCAGCGGGAAGTCCCTGCAGACAGGGAGCTTGCTGACGTGAAGGCTCTTCAAAAAGTTACCTGAAATGCATGTTATATAAAAATTATCATGGACTTAGCGTTCAAACCCAGTGTTCCGTGAACATGGTGAACTCACTTTATGTAAACTCTTGACTCTTCTAGTAGATCTTGTTTGCCTGCAGGATAGCCAAACACCAAACATTAACCTGATGGCCTGTGCGAGGGCTGCCCGGGGGAGCTCGGGCTCAGCTGGGATGCGGCCAGGTGCTCTTTGTACCCACAGCTGGACTGCAGGGCTGCTGTGGGCTTTGTGGGTTCATCTTGACCTGTTTCCCAGACCTTTAGCACTCTGGCCCCCTGCTCTATGACAACAGGGTGCAGCCAGCAAGTGTCCAAAAGCACCGGAATGCTGTGATAACACCCCAGTGACAAGCCCCGACCTCCCAGGTCCGGGTTTCTTACCACGGTTAATAGGTTGTCTGGGACACCGGCCTCCGGTGCTGGAGCGCCTGGGTTAGAGTCCAGGCTCTGTTTCTGATTCCAGCTTCCTGCTAATGCACACTCTGGGAGGCCGCAGGTGATGGCTCAAGTGCTTGGTCCCTGCCCGTCACGTGGGAGACCTGGACTGAGTTGTGGACTCTGGGTTTGCACCTGGCCCAACCCTAGTTGTTGCAGGCATTTGGTGAGTAAACCATTGGTGGCAGGTCTCTGTCTCTGCCCAAAAGTAAAGTGAAAAATTGAAAATCCATGAAGCACTTGTTGTTGAAGAAGAATGTGATGGCACTTCAAATGATAAAATAAAAGCAAGACTGGAAAAATAAAACAACATTGGAGAAGTCAATGCTGCTTTCACTTCCATTACAGGGAATGGCTTTAAAAAAAAAAAAACTCAGAGTTACAAAACAGGGAAAGACAGAAAGAGATCTTCCATCCGCTGGTTCACTTCCAGATGTCTGCAACAGCCAAGGCTGGGCCAGGCCAAAGCCAGAACCAGGAGCTTCATCCAGGTCTCCCACATGAGTAGCAGGGGCACAAGCACTTGGGCCATCTTCTGCTGCTTTCCCCATTAGCAGGGAGCTGGATCAGAGTGGAGCTGGGACTCCAAGTGGTGCCCATATGGGATGCATGCATTACAGGCAATGGCCTTACCCACTATGCCACAATGCCAGCCCCAAGGAACGGGTCTGGTCCCAGAGCCTACAAGTTGTTCCAGGGATGAGGATGGAAGTTCTGTTACCTCACACCTAGAACTCTCTCCATTTGACTACTGGTTGCTCTTATCCACGTCCTAGGTTCTATGCACTCTAACTGGGTCCCTGTGAAGCCTGTGGATTGAAAGCCCTCCTTTTTATTTTTAAAATTTTATTTATTTATTTAAGCAGGAGAGATGGGGAGAGATGATAGACAGATAAGACAGAGATATTCCATCTGCTGGTTCGGCGTCCAGATACATGTGAGGGGCTGGGCTGAAGCCGGAAGGTGGGAACTCAGCCCAGGTCTCCCAGGTGAGTGGCAGGTCCCCCACTTAACTACTTCAGCCCGCACTGCTGTCGCCCAGGTTTCACATTAGCAGGAAGCTAAAGTCAGGAGCTGGAGCTGGAATCAGACCCGAGTCCACCATCAGTGTGGGACAGAGATGTTCAAATAGGTGATTTACCTGCCAGGTCAGAGCCCCACCCCGCTCTTACTTTTAAATGATTGAAAATAAGAAAGCAACTATCTTGATGCCTCTTTAACACATGTAAGTATTTAGAAGGAACCAAACGTTTTGAAGCTAATTTCTCGTGGAAATGGAACAAGAATAGTATCAATATTGTATGTATGAGAGTCTGCAAGACCTTGATGCTTTAATTACATTGTGGTTTTATCACGCTGCTTACATGAGGCTGTGAGTCATGTGTGGGTAAAGGGAGGATTTAGCACCAAGTTAGCCTCTGTTGCCACACAGACGAACCCGTCAGCTGAGAGATGAGTGTTGTCAGATCGCCGAGCGAGGCGCTGCCAGGGCGTATGGCATCGGCCTGTCCTCTCCAACTGTGGGACGACCTCTGTCCCCACAGAGGGACCATTGCACTGGATTGTGGGGTCTTGGGTGATGTGAAGGTATTTCAAAAAGTTCATGGAACGTAGAAGTAAAAGATAAGTTTATTTTGGTGCCAAACTATTTTGAAACCCATGACTGCTTTTCTCCCAAGACGCATTTCCCGGGAACTTTTAGAAGTCCCCTGATGGCCACGCTATTTCTTCACTGGCCTCCTGCCACGCCGCTGAGGCTTGAGGACACGGGCAGTCTGTGCTCACTGCCCGTGGGTGTGGAGAGGAGGGGCTACAGGCAGGGGCAGTCCTTCCTGATCTGCTGGTGACTGGCTTTTCCTGTACAGAAGGGAAGTCATGTTGCATATTAACATAGCTTATGTTTAAAACGGCTTTATTTTACTTATCTTTGAAGATTTATTTATTTATTTGAAAGGCAGAGTTACAGAGACAGAGGGCGAGAGCTTCTACCCACTGATTCACTCTGCAAATGGCCACAACACCTAGGGCTGGGCCAGGCTGAAGCCAGGAAACTGGAACTTCTTCCGGGTCTCCCACGTGGGTGGCAGGGGCCCGAGTACTTGGGCCACCCTCTGCTGCTTTCCTAGGTGCCTTAGCAGGCAGCTGGTCCAGAAGTGGAGCAGCCGGGACTCGAACCGACACTCATATGGGATGCTGGTGTCTCTGGTGGTACCTTAACCCACTGAGCCCCGACACCGGCAGGGGTCTGAATCCATTAAAAAATTTTTGTTGGAACTTTATGTTCAAATGGCTAAAATTCTATCCAGTTATGAAGGCCAGGTTCCCCTGCTCTGCCTGTTAGTCCATGGCTGCGGCTGCTCTGGGAAGTCCATGTGCTCCTCAGCCTTCGGTTTGCTTTGAACACTTAAAGTACCCGAGTAACAACAACAGTTAGAAAAGGAAGCGTGGGCACAATTACTGTGTGTGTGTGTGGGGGGGGGCACTGTGCCCCTTACTGGCCGCTCTCATTTCATCCTCTTGCCAAGTCTGTGGGTGCAGATAAGGGGCCCACCTACTCAGGGTCACCGTTGGCAGGTGCCCAGCCTATGCCCCAGCTCTAGAATTCAGTGACAAGCTGCATGGCCTTGACCAGCAGCCCGCAAGTGTCATTTGCAACCTGCTCTCCACATTTCAGTTGCGTCCAACTCAGCTCAGCGACTGGGTTAATCCCACGAGCCTTCCAGAAACTGGCCTTGAGAAAGCCGGCTGGAGTTGCAAAGCAACGCGACTCCACCAGCCAGCCCGCAGCCCGCCCCATCCTTCGTCCCCCTCTCCCTGTTCCCTCCCAAAGTCCCCCCTGCTAACTTGAGACCTGGGAGAAGCCCTTTTTGAGACTAAAGACAGGATCTCTTGGGTAAGCCTGGCTGCTTGCGTCAGCTCCGGCGCCCAGGCTGCCCGGCGGCGACACCCCGGGCCCAACTTCGGCGACATCACCGGCAGACACCACCAGAGCCCTGGAAGAACTGCAGGGACCTCCACCCCGGTCTCGCAAACGTGGCGTCACATGCCTTGCTTTCGACACAGAACGATCTGGAATCACGCATGTTCATCACGCACGCTTTCCAGGTATCACCAAAACCTTTGTGCACCCAAATGAAAGGTTCATTTCGCTTTTCCTTGAACTTTTTTTTTTTTTAAATCCCCTCACATCCGCCTCAAAATAACTGCCCCAGCACGGTCCTGACCCTCCGGCTCCGCGTCGCCCACGCCTCCCGTTCCCGGGCTGTATCAGGCGCGCGGGCAGGGGAGACCCGGGCGGCCGCCCCCGCGCCGCGCGCCCAAGGCGGGTGCGCGCCGGGCCGCTCCTCCTGCCCGCCCTTGCTCGGGGCGGGGCCGGCGGCGGCACCAAGGCCTCCCGTGGCCGCGGCCGTCTCCTTCCGCTGCCGCCAGCTCTGAGCCGCGATGAGCTGGGAGCTGCTGCTGGCGCTGCTGGCGCTGTGCGCGCCCCTCCTGCTCGTGGTGCAGCTCGTGCGCTTCCTGCGGGCCGACGGCGACCTGACGCTGCTGTGGGCCGAGTGGCAGGGCCGACGCCCAGGTGAGCAGGACCCGCCGTGGGATGCCCGGGGCGCGCGTCCAGATCCCCGGGGCGGCGAGGCTTGCTCCTTCCCGGGGCCCTGCGGGTGCGGAGGGAGGCGGCCCGGGCCCCGGAGGCGACTGTGCCCCTTGGTCCTCTGGCCCGGGGCGAACTTGCCGTCCAGCCGCGGAGAGCTTGGCAGGGGTGCCACGCATCCTGGTGAGGTCCCCCGGGGGTCCGATGCAGGGTCGGAGGAGCCGGCTTTGGGAAAGGCGAGCGCGCCCCTGGAGGACGCCACTTGCAAAGACCTGGTACTGTCCGAGTCCACCCTGCTACTAGAAAGAACTGGAGTGGCGTGTGGCCTTCCGCGAGGTCGTCGTGGGCGCGCGCGGGGCGTTTTCTGGCCGCGCCACTTGGGTGTTGCTGCACATCGGTTGCGCGCGTGCTTTGTGTGTGTTTGCGGTGACTGAACGCAGGCTGCGTGCTGCGGGCTCGGTTGAAAATACTCAGACCGTGTGTGCGGGATCCGTGCACCTGTCGCCGACTGCTGAATTTTCTGCGTCTAAAGCAGAAGTCCCACGTGCGCTGCAATTCTGTTCATCTAGACCTTGGCCCTGTTCACAGGAGGCCTGCGGAGTCCGCCCCGTGCTTTTGTGTTCACTTGGACTTGGAGAATTAAATCAGATTAATCTGTATCTTACTGTCCTTTCTTTTCTTTTTCTTTCTTTCTTTTATTTATTTATTTATTTTGACAGGCAGAGTTAGACAGTGAGAGAGAGAGACAGAGGGACAGGTCTTCGTTCTGTTGGTTCACTCCCCAAATGGCTGCTACGGCCTGCGCAGCTGATCTGAAGCCAGGAGCCAGGTGCTTCTCCTGGTCTCCCACACGGGTGCAGGGCCCAAGCACTTGGGCCATCCTCCACTGCACTCCCGGGCCACAGCAGAGAGCTGGCCTGGAAGAGGGGCAACCGGGACAGAATCCGGCGCCCCAACCGCGCCTAGAACCCGGAGTACCGGCGCCGCAGGCGGAGGATTAGCCTAGTGAGCTGCGGTGCCGGCCACTGTCCTTACTTTTCTAAAAAGTCATTCTCCCCATCAAATGTTGAAACAGGTTGACAATATCTGAGTGAATCTCTGGCAGCTGGTAAAAGTTATCTTCTCATATCAAGCACAAGTTAAAAGTTAGGGTCATATTGTAACTGCTGGATGTCAACTAAAAGTGTTGAAATAAGGTACTGCCACTTGAAATAATTTTTAAGAAATTCACTTCATTATTTTACATTTACGGCAAAACAACTGTTTTGAAGATTTTTAGTTTAGCCACATTTTTATAAAATATTTAATTAGCATCTATAATTTGATATATTAATGTTTATCTAAGTAAATGAGTTATAAGTTATTCAGCAAACATGATTATAAAGTTAAATGATGGGGCTGGCATTATGGCATAGCGGTTTAAGCTGCTGTCTGCAACACAGGCATCTCTTAAGGGCGCTGGTTCAGGTCCCCACTGTGCCACTTTCAATTCAGTGTCTTGTTAATGCCCTGGAAAAAGCAGTGGAAGATGGCCCAAGTGTTTTGGGGCTTCTGCCACCCGTGTGGGGGACCCGGATGAAGCTTCTGGCTCCTGGCTGTTGCCACCAACTGTAGAGTGAACCAGCAGTGGAAGATCTCTGTCTCTCCCTCGTTCTCTCTTTCAAGATAGAGAAATCTTTTTTTAAAGAGAGTTAAATGATGTTCAGGGAAATTCAGTGCCCTGACCTAAGCCAGGCTTTGGATCCTTGTAGATCGTCCAGTGCAACTTAGAACTTATTCTGAAACCTGCATTGATTAAAGAGTCAGCTTTACAGAATTAGAGACAGATTAAAACAAATTAAAATAAAATCAAAGCAGAGAAAAGAGAACCAAGATTAAAAGAGTTCATAATTGATTTTCTCAGAAAGTTGAGTAAAGATCTCTCTGTATACCAACAGCAGAATGCCATAAAAAGTAAAATTACAAGAGAAAAAGTGTTCATATTTGTGTGTAAAATACATTTAGGAAATAAGAATATTTAACATATAATGATGTTATAAATCCACAAAACTTAGAAGATGAAATTAAAAATGTTCTAGCAAACAGAACAGAAGTAAAGATAATTGGAAAATAACAGAGCTATATACATCATTGTTTATTTAGATTGGGCGATCAGAAGACCAACAATAACTAACGGGAGCCAAAAAAGAGAATAGCAACAAGAACAAAATGGATGAGTAGAAAATATGAAGAAACAGTTTTGGAAATACCTACAACAAAAGAATATGAGGTCTTGTGGTAAAAGGACCAAATAGATGTCCAACAAAAAGACCAAAATTAAGGCAAATTATAAGGAAATATGAGAACACTAAAAACAAGGATCAGGTCTTGGATCCTCCCGAAAAGCTTCTCAACAGCTATGTTGAATGCTAAAAAGCAAGGAAGATGTTTCCTTCAAAATTTTGAGGAAAATGTGTTTCAATCAAAATTTCTTCACTGTAACAGCTATCTATCACATGTGACAGTAGAATAAAGATGCTTTAAACACACACACACACACACACACACACACAAAGAATCTTCAGAAAGTTCATGGAAAGTCTATATTATGAAAAAGCTACGTGTGGATTTCAAAATTAGTTGTACTGCAACAGACTATCTTTTAATTCTGTTTTTCCATAACTTGTTTTTGAAACCCACATATAAGCATAGTGCATGTGTGTTTATACAATATATCTGTGGAATTAAGATGTGATGGGTGAGATTTAGGCAAAACAACAGCTAAAATGACTCCCTGGTGGTGAGTGGGGAAGTGATAAAGACACAGAGATTAAAGGAAGGTGGAAATAGACCCTGACTCCCCAAACAGCTCAGTCTGGAAAGATGGGCCGACTCGATCAAGGTTAAAAACAAAAGAAAGGAAAAATTCCTCTCGACTCCTCGGTGGGTTTCTGTGTTGCTAACAGAGATGGACAGCTCATCCGTGTAGTATAACATGAAACAGGGTAAAAAGCCAAGCCCACTCTGACCCTTGTCCCTGGCACCCGACCGTGCCTCTCTGCCAATGGCTCCCATCTCCTGCCCCTGCCTTTCCTTTTAGAGAAATTCTCTGCATTTCCAAATATGTTTCTCACGCGATGAAACCGCAGGGTGACTAATTTTAGCTGTTGCATCTGGGTCCAGGAAAATCCTGGGCAGAGTCCTGAGTAGGAAGAGGCTCAGCGCTAGCACCTGTGAGGAGCAGTCAGCTTTGGGCCGACAGTCACCTGGCTGTGAGTCACCTGTGAGGTGGCTGCCGGAAACAGGAGGCGAGCCTGGGCTGCCTCTGGTGGCTGAAGCAGCAGCGGCAGACAGTAGAAGCCTCCCGCGCACCTGCTTGTGGGTGCTGGGGCTGCAGCGGTGACCTGCCACATTGCAGGGCACGAGGGGAGTGACAGTGGTGGCAGGGCTGGAGTCCAGGGCTGCAAGCAGAAGTTCGAGGAGACCAGATGCTGGGGGCATGTGGGGGAAGGTGTCGCCTCGGACACGCTGCACTCTTCCAACGGGGCCCAGAAAGGAGTCGACTAGAGCTTACCCAGCCGGCCCCGAGACAGAATCCCCCCCACCCCCGGGCTGGGGTTCGCACCTGAAGTTTCTTTGCAGTTCTGAGGATCTCTTTCAGAGGCTGTGTGCTAGACTGGGCGGAACTGGCAAACAAAAGTTGCTGTCAGAACTCTGAGTGCGTTCAGGTAACCCCAAGCCTGGGGGCTCTCAGTAATAGTTCTTTATCGGTGTAAAAACTGAAGGCATCTTGGTAAATTCCAAGCTAGCCAGTGAATAATTCCAGAACCAAGTGCACTTATCCTGGAGTCTGGGTATTGCGACTCCTGGAGCGATGAGCAGCCGGTGATTGAATACATGATAGAACATGCATCCCGGGATTCCCGCGTGTGGTCCTGCGGGAAGCTTGCTCACTCCTGTCTTCCCACGGACTCGTGGGTCCGGACAGGAGACTAGAGCTTACCCAGCTGGCCCCGAGACAGAATCCACCCGCCCCCCCGCCCCAGGCTGGGTTCAGAGGTTCGCAGAAACCTTTTGTCCTGAGGGCGAGCTGTGCTTTCTCGCATGTCCGAGAGACAGCTGGGTCTTAAACCATGGATGGTGTTGAGATGTGTGCTCCCCGGGATAGGGGGCAGGGGGCCTCATATCCCAGCTCAGCAGGGACTCACGAGTTATCTCTGCCGTCCTTCCAATCTTCCGGTCTCTATGCTAGCACCGAGGCCTTGGGCGAGGAACAAGGCAGCCTTGATGGGAGTGACAGTCTCCTGGGGCTGTTCAGTGAGCCTCAGTTTCCCTTTCTGTATTAGCTGAGTTAACATAATACCTGCTTACCTCCTGAGAGCCTTCTGAGGGCTTTTAGAAGGCAGTCAGAAAAACACGAAGCCGGCCGGCGCCCCGGCTCACTAGGCTAATCCTCTGCCTGCGGCACCGGCACACCGGGTTCTAGTCCCAGTCAGGGCGCCGGATTCTGTCCTGGTTGCTCCTCTTCCAGGCCAGCTCTCTGCTGTGGCCCGGGAGTGCAGTGGAGGATGGCCCAGGTGCTTGGGCCCTGCACCCCACGGGAGACCAGGAGAAGCACCTGGCTCCTGCCATCGGATCAGTGCGGTGCGCCGGCCGTAGCGGCCATTGGAGGGTGAACCAACGGAAAAGGAAGACCTTTCTCTCTGTCTCTCACTTTCCACTCTGCCTGTCAAAAAGAAAAACACGAAGCTGTTAGAAGTAGCAGCCACACACGTGACTGGCTGAATGTGCTGTTGTGCTGCCTGGTTCATTGGTCCGCGCGATCTTAGCAGTTGGCATGCGCTAAGCATGGAGGATGTGCCGGATCCTACGCTCAGTGCTTTCCGTTTTTAACTGATTACTCTCAACACTCCTGTGAGGGCCGTGTTACTGATCATCTGCTCCCAGTTGTAGAAAGTTTTTTTTTTTTTTTTTAAGATTTATTTATTTGAAAGGCAGAGTTACACAGAGAGAGGAGGAGAGGCAGAGAGAGAGGGAGGTCTTCCATCCACTGGTTCACACCCCAATTGGCCCCAACGGCCAGAGCTGTGCTGATCCGAAAGCAGGAGCCAGGAACTTCTTCCAGGTCTCCCATGCAGGTGCAGGGGCCCAAGGACCTGGGCCATCTTCTACTGCTTTCCCAGGCCATCAGCAGGGAGCTGGATCAGAGGAGGAGCAGCCGGGACATGAACTGACGCCCATATGGGATGCCAGTGCCACAGGCAGAGGCTCAGTCCACTACACCACACGAGCGTTTGCCGTCTGTGAATTGGGTAGGGGCTGGTGTTGTAGCACGATAGGTTGAACCACCACCCATGACGCCGGAATCCCATATGAGCGCAGGTTTGAGTTCCTGATGCTCCACTTCTGATCCGGTTCCCTGCTAATGTGCCTGGGAAAGCAGCAAAGGATGGCCCAAGTGCTTGGGCCCCTGCCAACCACGTGGGAGCCTCAGATGAAGCTCCTGGCTCCTGGCTTCTGCCTCCTGGCTCTGGCCATTGTGGCCATCTGGGGAGTGAACCAGTGGATGGAAGATCTTTCTCTCTGTCTCTCCCTCTCTCTGTCTGTACTGCTACCTCTCAAATAAATACATATTTTTTTTTTTAAAAACCCACTTTGTTGATAACTGGTACTAGTATGATCCGTATCCACGCTTAAAAAATAGGCAGGAGATGTTTTCTTTGGGTAGTTAAAATTTTGAGTTCCATGCATCATTACGTCCTCTTCGTATTTCGTGGTACCGTTTAAAGCTTTTGGGGGCTAATCTGTCGTTTCTGAGTGTAAGCCACACTTACTTAATTCTGTCCTCCATCTCACCCCTCCCCGTGTAGAATGGGAGCTGACCGACATGGTGGTGTGGGTGACTGGAGCCTCCAGTGGCATCGGCGAGGAGCTGGCTTACCAGTTGTCCAAGCTAGGAGTTTCCCTCGTGCTGTCGGCCAGGAGGGTGCACGAGCTGGAAAGGGTGAAAAGAAGATGCCTCGGTAAGTTCACTCATCGCCAGCAGCAGCTTCCGGGTCCAAGTGCAGACCTGGCTTTGGGAATTTCAGAGGGAGGGTGGGATTCGCAGGGCCGGACCCCCCAGCCGCAGGCACTCCCAAGAGCCGTGTGCCAGATTCTCTTCTGTTTGTCATCGATACATTAACTGCCTTTGCCTTTTTCCTTTCTGCCACTGCTTCTCTCCAATGCTGGTGGAGTTTTATTGAACTCGAGTTAGGAAGGATTCGTCCTCGCTTTGCTAAAATGTCAGGTCTTAACCTGTTAAGTCCTAGGTTCTCAGTTCTGTGACTATTTCAGTGATATGATACGTATTTCAAAGTTACCCTGAGTGGTAGGTTTATTGCTCATTGTAAGCTTTTTTAGGATGTCCCATCGATGGGATGATGGGACATAATTGATCAGTCATCTGGGGTTGTGTGGGATTTTTGTTATTATAGATAGGAATTTTGTTTAGAACAGGAGTGGAATTAGATTTAAAAGTGCAGCTTGAGACAGTGTCTTCCCTGTTGATGATAGAGAGCAGCAGTGTTCATGTTTTTGTTTGTTTGAACTTTGGTGCAGTAACTGAAAGCAGCCTCAGGTAATAATTATTCTCGCGGGACATTAAGTATTAAACCAGGATCATTTTGAATTTTCCAGAAGACGGTTCATTTCGTTGGTTCTCTCTCTACCTGTCATTCTTTTAAAAATCTTTTTGACTTCACTGCTTGGGCTGACCACTGAGAAGGAGAGTTACTGTGCGTACAACTGCAAAGGCTCTTGTCTTTTTGCACGGGGCGTCTTCCTCACTGCTGTGACTCGCAGTAGCCGCCCTGGCGAGGGTGAGGAACCGTGTCAGTGTTTCTTAGCCCCGTGCAGGAGTTGTTTTCCTTTTAACTCTCAGATCATCGATGCATACTTTTTCCTTTCTTTTTATAGAGCTCGTGGTACCCCAGTTTGCTCTTTTGTGCCTCAGGCCTTCCTGTTTCTCTTTCTCGCCTTACTTATGTTTCCTGTTGGCATTACTTGTTGCATTTCAAGATTAGGGTCCAGGAAAGCCAGCTTCAGTCGTCCTTTGGTGGAACAGAAACAGAACGGCCAATCCCAGCTCAACTTGTTGTTTCTTGGTGTGGGAGGTTTTGGGATTCTGTCCATTGCCTTGGTTGCATCCTGGAATCTTTTGTCTCTGGAGAGAAGCATCTCTCTTCATCTGACTTCAGGGCTCTGAGTTTCTTCACTGATTTTTAAGCTTAAATTGCTGTCTTTTCATAGGTGTAAAACAGTGACCATGTAGCCTACCACGAAACAAATGTGTCTCTCTTTTTCTAAAGAGATCGCTCTACAATTTTTGCTTTCTTATTCAGCTTATAGTATCAGCTTGATTTTATAAAATCTACTCTTAATTATTTTCAATGTCTTTATTTCTATAAGGTGAACGTGTATTTCATATATATAGACATAGGAGCCCGGTGACACTTCCTTCCATACTCTCCCTCTTCCTTCCTCTCTTATATTTTCTTTCAATTTTTACAGTGACTTACTTGGTTTACTTTATAATCACAAGCTTAACCCTCCACTAAATAAAGCATTCAACAAGTAGTAAGTACAGAAACCACCGTTCCTCACAAGTGTAGACAAGGGCTTCAGCTTGATCTCTGACCGTCGGTTCTGGTTGGACTGGGTGTGTGTTCAAGTTGAAGTGTGCCAATCCACTTCCCGTGCGGCCAGCCAGCGTTCTGTCTGCCAGTCCTCTTCCCGATCCAGCTACTTTCCCAGGCAGGCCCTCCCCAGATGAGTTCACCGCCCACGCCTGTTGCAGGGTGGGGAGCGGCTAGCAACTGGATTGGATTCTGGCATGACTCCCACTAAGTGTTCAGTGTCTTTCTTTAGAGAATGGCATTTTAAAAGGAAAAGATATACTCGTTCTGCCCTTCGACCTGACCGACAGAAGTGCCCACGAAGCAGCCACCAAAGCCGTCGTGCAGGAGTTTGGTAAAGTGAGTAGCGTTTTATGTCCATCGAGCATATGCCGTGGCTTTGTCTTGCTTGGAAGTAAGAGCACGAGAGATTGACATCTGTGGTGCTGTCTTGCAGAATAGTTTTAGGCAAAGGGGGTGCATGCAGTGAGATCAGGTCTAGGAGCTGGGCCTTTCAATCTCTTTGACTTTAGGTTAATTAGTACAAGGGGGTCTTTAAAACAGTTTGTGAAATGTGCCTGTCATGGAAAAATGATGCATGGATTTCAACCAAAATAAATTTATCTTTTAATTCTGTTTCCCATGAACTTTTCTTGTACTTTTCTGTTCCTTAACAAGTACTGATTCCTTCGTGTAGAAGAGACGAAGCTAAAAAGTCACTGCTGCTTTCGTTTTTAATTACACTTACAATGTTCCATAAGAAGTCACCTAAAATGGGACTTTCATTCCTCAGTGAATCAGGTTCTTATTTTACCTGTTCGGTGCCGAGCTCTAGAGTTGCCGGTATCAGCAGCCACCCCAGGAATTTCTCGGTGCCTCTGTAGCGCGTTCCCAACGCGTGCTGTTTCTGATTGTGTACCCAGATCGACATCCTGGTGAACAACGGCGGGAGGTCCCAGCGTTCTTTGTGTGCAGAGACCAGCCTGGACGTCTTCAAGGAGCTCATGGAGCTGAACTACCTGGGGACCGTGTCCTTGACAAAGTGTGTCCTGCCGCACATGATCGAGAGGAAGCAAGGGAAGATTGTTACGGTGAACAGCCTGGCCGGGATCACCTCCGTGCCCCTCTCCAGTGGCTACTGTGCCAGCAAACACGCACTGCGGGTAAGGCTGCCGACTCCACTCTGCTGGGACCGATCTAAGTATGCGGATGGGAGATACGGCCATCATGGTGTGAGGTCACGGGACGGGGCAGAAAGACCCCAGAACGCCTTTGGAAGTAGATGCTCCCAAAGGCGGGAGGCATGCTTGCCCCTGACTTACTCAGACGTGCACTGAGCACCGGCACGGTGCCGTGTGCTGCAGGAGATGCTGGGAAAGTGAAGACGATGAGGTGTGGAAGAGCACCGTGTAGTCAGCTTGGCACCCTGCACCTTGTCTCTCTCCCCATCACGGCTGCGGGGCAAATTGGGGGTCTATCCCTGCCCTTTTTTTTTTTTTTTTTTTTTTTTGACAGGCAGAGTGGACAGTGAGAGAGAGAGAGACAGAGAGTAAGGTCTTCCTTTTGCCGTTGGTTCACCCTCCAATGGCCGACGCGGCCGGTGCATCGCGCTGATCCGAAGCCAGGAGCCAGGTGCTTCTCCTGGTCTCCCATGCGGGTGCAGGGCCCAAGACCTTGGGCCATCCTCCACTGCACTCCCTGGCCACAGCAGAGAGCTGGCCTGGAAGAGGGGCAACCGGGACAGAATCCAGCGCCCCGACCGGGACTAGAACCTGGTGTGCCGGTGCCACAAGGCGGAGGATTAGCCTAGTGAGCCACGGCGCCGGCCCCTGCTTTCTTCTACACATTATTTAGGTTGTATTTTTTTAAAAAAAAAAGATTTATTTATTTATTTCAAAGAGTTACACAGAGAAAGAAGGAGAGGTAGAGAAAGAGAGAGTCTTCCATCTGTTGGTTCACTCCCCAGATGGCCACAACAGCTGGAGCTGTGCCAATCAGGAGCCAGGAGCTCCTTTCGGGTCTACATAGGTACAGGGGTCCAAGCACTTGGGCCATCTTCTACTGCTTTCCCAGGCCATAGCAGAGAGCTGGATCGTAAGTGGAGCAGCCGGGACTCGAACCGGCGCCCATATGGGATGCCAGCACTGCAGACGGCGGCTTTACCCTCTACGCCACAGCGCCGGCCCCTCGGATGTATTTCCTTCTGCCTTTTTCTGTGCCTTTTTCCCCTCATACTTGGGCTGTGACTGACTTGGAATTATATACACGTGTCAGAAATAGACAATCGTCCTGGGCCTCACAGCCCTGTTGGGAAACATCATGTCTCTGTTCTGGTTTTACTGGAAGAAGAACTTCTCATCGAGAAAAGCTTGAGCATAACTTAGGAGGTTTAAATATTAGAAATGAGTGAATTTTTCATGTCAGCTTAAGAGTGGATGCGGGGAAGCCGTAGGGCGACGGAAAAGAGGCAGCAGAGGAGAGATGGTATTGCTAATTAATGCCCTTGGAGGCCCGTGCAAGTGGGCCCTCTCCATGTTGGTGACCACACGCAGTTGCTGCGTAGTCATGGCTTCATGTGAACGGAAGGCGGCCAGGTGAGGGGCAGCAGCCGCCCTGCCTCCTGAGACCTGCAGGATGCCATCGGGAAGCACAGCTGAGCCGCCTGGCTTCCCCCCCGGACTCACTGTTCCGTTACTGGGTTTAGAGGACACGGCAGGCAAGACGCCAGCTGTGCACAGTAGCTGAACACGAAAACCAGGAGGGTCTGTGTGGGGGCACATTTCCTTCTCAGATTCCCAGCCAGCTCCAGAGTGAACCCAGTTATCTTGGAGTTTATACGCCACCGTAGATGTTACTTCAAACAAGGAGCGCTTTGAGTGCCTGGCTAGATGTCTTCCCTCTTCTGCTATGCTAGAGAGCAGCCAGAGGTCAGAGGTGTGGGACTTCTCCTGCAGTCACTAAGCTTTGCTTTGCTTGCCTTTTTTGTGATCCATCTCTGAGTCAGGCCCTGTTCAGCCCCTGGCAGCGTGAACCCCCACAGCCCCTGTGTTTGAGGGGTCGTGTTTGAGAGCTGGTAACTGTTGAATGTTGGACCACATGCAGACATGTCGAGGGTTAGCTCTTTAGCTTTACAGTTGTTAGCCCAGCCTTAGGTCATCTCTGTCTGTTCCATACTGGTTTAGAAATGGCTTTAAGGGGCCAGTGTTGTGTTGTACTAGGCTAATAAGCCTCCACCTGCAGCGCCAGCATCCCATATGGGAGCCAGTTTGTGTCCTGGCTGCTCCACTTCCGATCCAGCTCTCAGCCTGGGAAAGCAGTAGAAGGTGGCCCAAGGCCCTGGCCCCTGCACCCGCGTGGGAGACTAGGAAGAAGCTCCTGGCTCCTGGCTTTTGGGTCGGCCCAGCTCTGGCTGTTATGGCCATTAGGGAGTGAACCATCGGATGGAAGACTTCTCTGTCTCTCCCTCTCTCTGTCTGTAACTCTACCTCTCCTATAAATCAAATAAATCTTTAAAAAAAGGAAATGGCTTAAGTCTAGAGGGTGTAGCTTGACTTACAAAAGTCATTGAGTAGATAATCATACTGCATCTTTCACTAGCCACTTGTCCTGTTAGCATCCCCAAAAGATACATGTTTGCTGAAACAAATTCATTTTGTTAAAATACCAACTTAGCTTGAAAAAGTTTTCTTATGTCTCTGTGAAGTACTACCTGTTCCTTCTTGCCCCAAATGATGGCTCCTTAGACCACTTTGGGGAATAAAGAGAAGCCCGGTGTCAGTATTCTCTGGAGAGTCTGCACCCCGTTTGGAGTGGGGTGACGAAGACCAGGTCGGGAGGATGCTTCAGAACCTTCAGGGGTGGTTTTTATCTGCCCATCGCTTGCCTACCGTGAAGCCACTGACGGTGGGGCAGGCATTGGCCCAACAGCGGCGGCACTTGTGTCCTATATAATAGTACCTGGGTTTGATTCCCGGCTCTGGCTTTTAACTCCATCTTCCAGGTAATGCAAAGCCTGGGAGGGTTCCTGGTGCCCAGGTGGGAGACCTGCATTGGAGTTCTTAGCTCCCAAGTCTGGCCTCAGTCCAGCCCCAGCCATTGAGGGCAGTGGGGGAGTTAACCTATGAATGGGAGCTTGTTCTATCTGTCTCTGCCCCCACCCTGTTCCTCCCCACCTTCCCCTCCAAATTAAAAAAAAAATCATCGAGCCACCATTACCCATGGGGTGAACAGTTTGCACCTGGGAAGAGCTGAGCCTGTTCTACATTGACTACCGAAGCAGCTTGCGTAATTACACTACCCGTCTTTCACTCAGGCATTTCAGAGCGTATTTTGACAACTCACGAGATACATGTCTAATTCACTTTTTTTTTTGGCATGTCCTGTAGGGTTTTTTAAATGCTCTCCGAACTGAACTTGTTGACTACCCAGGTATAATAGTTTCTAACATTTGCCCAGGACCCGTTCAGTCAAATATTGTGAAGAACGCCCTGACTGAGGAACTGACCAAGGTAAAAATGTATACTGGAGAGTAATTTGTTTTACTCGCTATATATTGCTGTTGTGTATGCCAGGTGTGTGTGTGTGTGTGTGTGTGTGTGTGTGAATCACTTTTGAATTACTCACAAAGCTTACCTTACGGCATGATGACATTGGTTACGTTGAGCTGATAATGCCTTGGCGTCAGATTTTGATAAGGCTCACGAAGTTGCCAAATCCCCTTATAAGTGGCCCTCTCTTAGGGGTCCCTTCTTGGGTGACCACTCTCACATGTCCAATGGAACAGGTTTTTTTCCTTCTCTACCAGGAATCTCCTTTTGTCTTCTTTCTCCATGTCATTCCCATGGACCCCACGCTTCATGGGATTTCATTTGCTAAATGCATGTTTTAATAATTTGGTAATGAAATTATCCTTCAGTGCATTCAGATGATGGGGTTTAAAAACCGTGAACTTTCATCTTTGAGTTAGCCTCTACAGTCTTAGCCTACACAATCTTAGCCTACACAGTCTTAGTGCGTGGTGTCAGGGTTTTAAAAAATATCCGCGAGGTCTGTAAAGGCCTAGTGGCACGTGCAGGGACTGCAGGGTCTAGGAGAAGCCCCACGAAGGAAGTCAGACACCCGAGTGGCCAATTCACCCTGTCCTGCTTAGCGGCTCTGTGAGGCAGCGTGGGTAAATACTCAGCAGTCGTTTGCTTTCTGAATTTTCTTAGACCATAGAAAATGAGGGAGACCAGTCCTACAAGATGCCAACCAGCCGCTGTGTGCGGCTGATGTTGATCAGCATGGCTAATGACCTGAAAGAAGTGTGGATCGCGGATCAGCCATTTTTGTTCATGGCATATTTGGGGCAGTATGCGCCGACCTGGGCCTGGTGGATAACCAGCAAGTTAGGGAAGAAAAGGATTGAGAACTTTAAGAGTGGTGTGGTAAGAACAATTTATGTTTCTTAATAATACGCATCAGCCTTGTAGAAAAGTACAGTTTTGCAGTGCTGAAGAGTACCTTCTTGCTAACCCTCTACCAACTCATGCTATAAATGAAAAAGATATCAGAAGTATTCTGTTTGCATGCAAAGCTGTTGGTTTTCTGTAAACTGTGATTAACCTTGGCAAAGCAAGTTTTCTTATAGTTAAGAAAATGCCAATGTAGGTTATCCAAGCTAATTGTACTTGTTTTTAATCATTGAATTTACATCTGTCTTGTAGACTAGGAACAATATATCTGGAAATTTTTTTAGGGACAATAAACCTAGAACTTTGTATGAATGTTATTACTTTCATGGGTGAAGAATAGTAACTATCCTAAATTTTGTGTGATCATCATTATTCTTCGTGGGAAATCTTGGAAGTGGCAAATGTGTCTTTGCAAATGCAGTGTCACACCTCAGGGGTGCCTTGTTTTTATCTTTAAACAGAATACTGAAGGCTCACAGGGCATTGCAGGCATCTCGATTGGTTGTACTCATTAGGGCACGTCCTTGTAGGTGGGATGGTGAGTCCAGCATTTCCAAAAGGACCCGAGCAGATGCTGACTAGTGAACTTCACACCGGCTGGAGGCGATAGCCATGCTAGGCCCCTTAGAGGTGCCTGCCTTAGAGGTGCCTAGAATTTGGGCTCTGATATGTCTGTTAGAATTGAATCATCTCCCAGGTTTTGTAAGGATTCTTAGTGGAGGTTCCTGGTGATGCAGCCCCTCAGGACAGGAGGACTTGGCGAGAACTCGGGTCAGCAGGAGGAGAGACTGACTCGTGACACTGTTGCTCTTTTACAGGACGCGGACTGTGCTTATTTTAGCTCCTCGAAGAAAAAAGCCAACTGAAAGGAGCGCTTGGATTTTTCGAGGTTCTGGAGGGAAAAGTGAAATACAAACAGCAGCCATCTTCTTTGGCACTGAAGACTCATGTGTGATTTTACGTTTTGATACAACTTTCAACATAGAATGAGTAATAAATTAGATGGCAAGGAATCTCGGGAAACGGGTGTTGGCACGGTACATTTGCGGATAAAAGAGCATTTTTAAAATACTTGAGCAGGTGTGCTTCAAAATGTACGTTTATCGAAATCCAACCAAAGAATTACAGTAATCTGTTTGCTACATGTCTTTGTGCTTCTTTAATAACACGTTCGGGAATTTGTGAACAGTGAACGTCACCGCTCCCAGTGCTGGCAGGGTTGGCGTCAGTGTCTGCTGCCGAGACAAAGCCTTGTAGCGGTGTCCTCCAGAGGGGAGCAGCATTGGCCTCACGTGGGGAACGGGAGCCGGGCACCTCCTGAAGATGACCTCGCTGCACCTCTTAGAACCGTGTTGAAGCCGTGGGCATCCCGTGTTGGGGGTTCAAGTTCCGCATGCTCCACGTCCGATCCAGTTCCCTGCTCACATGTCTGGGAAAACAGTGGAGGATGGCCCAAGTGCTTGGGCTCCTGCAGCCACATGGGACACCTAGAGGAAGCTCCTGGCTTCCGAGTGGCCCCGCACCAGCCGTTGAAGGCATGCAGGGAATGAGCCAGCAGGTGGAGGATCTCTCTCTCTCTCTCTCCCTCTCTCTGTGACTCTGCTTTCAAATAAATAAATCTTAAAAAAAAAAAAAGGCACCTGAAGAAACAAGACAACATGATCAACTCTAAGAGGGACAGAGAAACAAGGTCCCAGAAAGGACCCAGTTAGTTGAGTTACTCAAACACAGGTTATAAAATTACCTTTACTGTATTGAAAGATACAAAACACAACACAGAGTTTCAGCTGAGAATTAGAAAGTATACAGAAGAATCAACTGACAAGTTCCCAGCTGAAAAATACATTAGTCAACTAAAAATTCAGTAACTGGGTTTGATAAATACTACACAGAGGTAAAGTAAGAATTTGTGAACTAGATGTTCAGCCAGAAATAAGAATCTGACTTAGCCCACTCTGCCACACCTGCCTCTCAGATGCCTTAATCTGTCCAATATTAAATCTAAAAAATTTTAGGGATGGGTGTTTGGTGTAGCAGTTAACATGCTCCTGGCGATGCCTGCCTCTCCTGTTGGAGTACCTGATTTCAAAATCAAGAATTGTAAAAAAAACATAAATGTCAGTCCATAGTGGATTTACATTTGCTGTCTGCTGGCTAGCTGCAATAGAAATCCAGTTATGGAGACTAACATTCAAACTGCATATGTCTTTATTCACCGTTAACATTAGGCTATAGTTCTTGGGGTCCCAACCCCGTGTGTGGCCAATTGCGTGGGTACCCTCTCCCCTACCTTGGAAAGCCCTCGCTTGTCGTTTTAATCCCTCTTACTCAGCACTAAGGCTGTCGAGAGTGTTGCTTACATTTTTAGACTCTGTCATCTTTTACTGAGTTGGCCTGTGTTCCCTGAAGGCAGGCAACATAAACGTTGAGCTCAGTTCTCGAAGTTTCATCCTGCCATGGAGCTTAGCGATAGAATTCTTTGCTGCTTCTTGGTTTTCAGATGCCATTAAGCGGATTTTAAAATATCACTCTGCCTAGTTTTTCTAGTTCTTCACAGATGGTTGGTGTGAGTTACCTATATACTATGAAAAGCTGGAAGTAGAAAAGTTAGTTTTATAGATAACTCAGTAAGGCCAGTTTTTAATAATCAGATGGATATCAGATAAGGTTCAATGAAGGAACAGTGTTCTGTGAAACACATATGAGTGTATCTGAACATACCCAGTTACTGATGATATAAGGCGCCTTTTCAAAAAATTCATGGAGGAGCTGGTGCTGTGGCTTAGTGGGTTAGGCTTCTGCATCCCATACAGGCACTGGTTCAAGTCTCAGCTGCTCCTCTTCCCATCCAGCTCTCTGCTGATATCCTGAGAAAGCAGTGGAAGATGGCCCAGGTGCCTAGGCCCATGCACCGACGTGGGAGACCTGGAAGAAGCTCCTGGCTCCCGGCTGTGGATCAGTCCTGCTCCCATCATTGCGGCCATTTGGGGAGTGAACCAGCAGATGGGGAGACCTTTCTGTGTTTCTCCCTCTCTCTGTAGCTCTGCCTCTCAAATAAGTTGGTAAATCTTTTAAAAAAAAATCGTGCTAGCTGTGTATTATAAAAAAAAACTATTCATGGATCTCAAGACTTTTTTATGACAATAAAATAATTCTTTTAATTCCATTTTCTGTAAGACTTTCCCCACATATTTGGGAGCAGATGAGATGGTGAAAATAAAATGAGGACCTGGCTCCCATTGTTGAGAAATTCCAAAATCAGAGGTCAGGTGAGAGAGGAAAAGCAGCAAAGCTGATTGAGAGGAGCTAGGAAAACCAGAAGAGCACAGTGTGTTATCAGAAAAGCCCCAAACCAAACACGAAAGATGGCTGGCGCGAGGCTGAATATACAAATGCTATTCAGAAGAAAAGTAAGCGGAGGCAGTAAGTGGCCAGCTGGTTTGACAAATGAAGATTGGAAGTGGTTCAATACAAACACTTTTTATTTGAGGGAACAGTAGAGATGGAATGCAGCCTGCAAGGTGACTGAAAGAGGAAAGTGGACCTTGAATCCAGTGTGTGAGGAGTGCAAGGTTAAGCGACAACATGGCTTGGGATTACTAGAATGATGAAAATCTTCAAACAACTTTAAACTCCTGTCATTTGGGGAAAAGTCCAATAAGATAACCATCACTAAAATGTGATAGTCACTAAACCAATTACCTGTTGTAAATCAATCAAGAAGTTTTCCTACATGACAAAAAGATATAATAGTAAATCTGGACTATGCAAATCATAAGCCTGAGATATGAACTCATATAGAATATGAAATCTCATCTGTACTATACTACCTAAAAAAACTGTACTATGCTACCTAAAAAAAAAAGGCTAATTCACAAAGTTCATGAGTCTGAAAATGAAAATTTGTCCAAAAGACATTGCTAGAGTGAACCAGTCCATATACTAAATAAATGGGCTAATAATAACTTAAAGCCCAACTGGCACATTTAAAATAATCTCACTCCTTTCTACTATTATATTAACAATCTAGCAGGTTCCTATAGGTTCAGTTCGAAATTAAGTAAGGTATAGAAGAAATTCATGCCTCAACTGATACCCATTCATGCTGCTTCCCCTTTACAAGCACTTGTTAAATGTGCCTAAGCAGCAAGAGAATGAAGATCCAACTGTAATCACATTATGGAAAGTCTCTTCCCTTCTGCCTTCAGTTCTTAAACCTTTACATACTAGTGACAGGTAGCCCTGTTTGGCAGGTCCTCTTTCAGAAGTGCTCTTCAGAATACGATCTTCAGAATGGCTTCTGGTAGTCACTCTCAGATGACCCTAACATTGCGCTTCCTGTGAGTATTCACCTGACGAATCTGGTGAACCCTTCCTTTCACATGCATACACAGAGGCGATTCAGAAGGGAAGGAAAGGATTTTACTGGAAAATATTTTATTAAATATTGGTAAAGATTTTGCACTGAAGTATATGAAAAGAAAATGAACACATTATATGAAAACATTGAGACCATGTTAAAAACAGCACATTTGAAAATACAATATTCAAATAAATATATGAATCTATTTTACATTCAATAACATCCATTATTATTTTAAAACACTGATATGTATATCTTTTAAGTATGTAAAAATGACATAGCTGTTGACTTTTTTTTTGACAGGCAGAGTGGACAGAGAGAGAAACAGAGAGAAAGGTCTTCCTTTGCCGTTGGTTCACCCTCCAATGGCCGCCGCAGCCGGCACACTGCGCTGATCTGATGGCAGGAGCCAGGTACTTCTGGTCTCCCATGGGGTGCAGGGCCCAAGCACTTGGGCCATCCTCCTCTGCACTCCCGGGCCACAGCAGAGAGCTGGCCTGGAAGAGGAGCAACCGGGACAGAATCCGGCACCCCAACCGGGACTAGAACCCGGTGTGCCGGCGCCGCAAGGCGGAGGATTAGCCTAGTGAGCCGCGGCGCCGGCAGCTGTTGACTTTTGTAAGGCAAATCACCTTTCATTTAGTAAAGCCTTAATGATGATCTAATCTTACATAAATGTTTCATTGTATTTTCCCAAAGCTTACCACAATCCATAGGGCACAAATATTGGCCAACTATTTCTAACTTTTATGTCAGATTTTTTTTTTTAAACGATTAAGATTACAGAGAGAATTCACTTCATGGAGCTTAGCTTTTCTCAGGCATCTGACTTGGGGCAGGGAACAGTACAGTGCAAGTGCAAGAATCACACTGTTACTTTCTAGGGTGGGAAAAATAAAAACCCCTCATGTGGGGACGTCACAAGCCAAGCGAGCTCTAATACAGCTGTAAATGCAGAGGTTTTGACGAATAAATCGGATATCCCAGGGGGGGATCAGCTGCTTGCACCGTGAGGTTTCTTAAAAGCAGTGGGTGAGCTTGTATGCTGTACCGTTCCTCGTCGTCGTTGGTGGCGTAAAGCAGCTCCCAGGAAAGATTGGCCCACTGGCCTCTAACGGCTTCGGCATTCAACTTCCCAACCTGGATCAGGAGTTCCTGCAGGGTGAGAACTCTCCCGGTGTACACTCCCTTCGCAGTGTAAAAGAGGGGGAAAGAAAGATTCCTCTTAGCCTTTACATTCTCTTCACAAAGTTGCCAAAAACAAAACCTGACTGCAGTTACATAATCTTTCTCACAAGGTCAAAATATACAAGGCTGTGTTTAAAAATGTATGCACACAAGTTGCTCGTCTTTAGAACCAGTATTGGCCGGCGCCGCGGCTCACTAGGCTAATCCTCCGCCTTGCGGCGCCGGCACACCGGGTTCTAGTCCCGGTCGGGGCGCCAGATTCTGTCCCGGTTGCCCCTCTTCCAGGCCAGCACTCTGCTGTGGCCAGGGAGTGCAGTGGAGGATGGCCCAAGTGCTTGGGCCCTGCACTCGCATGGGAGACCAGGAGAAGCACCTGGCTCCTGGCTTCGGATCAGCGTGGTGCGCCGGCCGCAGCAGCCATTGGAGGGTGAACCAACCGCAAAGGAAGACCTTTCTCCCTGTCTCTCTCTCTCACTGTCCACCCTGTCAAAAAATAAAGAATCGAGTACCCACTCGATTTCCTTAGCTCTCTCAATGAAGAAAAAAAATTTCACAATTTCATTATCAGAATAGCGAGATCTCAGCTACTTCTCTTTCTTCTCCTCCTCTAAGCTGTCACTCCATCCAGCTTCAGCAACACGTAAGTCAAATACTTTGTCAGTAGACAACCAGGCAACAGGCCCTTAAAAGAAACAGCGTTTTGGGATATAATTCGCAGCACATGTTATTTACTCCTTTAACATGTACCGGGCAATGCTGTGCTCAGATATGTGCAACCATCACCAGTTAATTTTAGAAGCTTTTCATCATCTCCAATAAACCCTGCACTTTTTTTTTTTTTTTTTTTTTTGACAGGCAGAGTGGACAGTGAGAGAGACAGACAGACAGAAAGGTCTTCCTTTTTGCCGTTGGTTCACCCTCCAATGGCCGCCGCGGCCGGCACGCTGCGGCCAGCGCACCACGCTGAAGGCAGGAGCCAGGTGCTTCTCCTGGTCTCCCATGGGGTGCAGGGCCCAAGCACTTGGGCCATCCTCCACTGCACTCCCGGGCCATAGCAGAGAGCTGGCCTGGAAGGGCAGCAACTGGGACAGAATCCAGCGCCCCAACTGGGACTAGAACCCGGTGTGCCGGCGCCGCAAGGTGGAGGATTAGCCTAGTGAGCCGCGGTGCCAGCCAACCCTGCACTCTTTAGCTATCATCTTCCTATTTCTTCATCTACCTTCATTAACATAGACTAATATATAATTATATTAGAACTTTAATATATAAATATATACTAACTTTTATCACTACAGATCAGCCATTTCTGGAAATTTAACGTGAAACAAGTGATGTCATATGTGGCTGTGACTTTTTCCACCTAGTACAGCTTCATGGTTCAACATGCTTTGCAGTATGTATCAGTACTTTATTCCTTGTATGATATTCCATTGTGTGGATAAACTACAATTTGCTTATCCATTCACTGGTTGATACACATCTGGGCTGTTCCTATCCTTTAGCAATTGTGAATACTGCTATCAGTATCCATATCCAAGTTTTTATCTAGAACCATTTTTATTTCTCTTGCGTACATACCCAAGAGTGGAATTGCTAGGTCACGTGGAAACTCAATGTTTAAAGGCTTGTGAAACTGCCAGAATATTTTACATTCCCAACAAGAGCACACAGCGATTCCAATTTCCCTAAGCCCTCAGTACCTTGTTAACCATTAACGTTTTGATTTTAGCCATCTACTGTGTATAAAGTGTTATTCTGTTGTGGTTTTGATTTGTATTTCCCTGGTGACCAATAATCTGCACATTTTTTCATGTATTTATTGGTGATTTATAATCTTGGGCTTTACAGATGCTTTACCCATTTTTAAATAGGGTTCTTTGTTTTATTACAGAGTTGTAAGAGTTCTTTATATATTCTAATAAGTCCCTTACCAAATATGAGCAAATATTTTTGGCATTCTTTGAGCTGTCTTTTTTTGTTGTTGGTGGTGGTGTTCTTTGAAGCACAAAAATGTATTTACTTTTGATGACATGGAAGCTTTATCAATTTATGTATTCATACTTTCTTTCTCATGCTTTTATTATTGTATCTAAGAACCTACTGCCAAGTTCAAAGTCATGAGGATTTATGCGTGTTCTTTCCCTGAGATTACTATGGTTTTAGATTGCTACATTGCAAGACACACTAGCTGTCACCAGGTGCTGGAAAGACAGGGAAGACTCTCCTCTGGCACCTTCCGAGGGAGGACAGCCTTCCTGGAACCTTCGTTTCAGAATTCTGACCCCCAGAACTCTGAGAATAAATTTTTGTTTTTGCAAAGTTACCCAGTTTGTAGTAAGCATTTGTTGCAGCAACCCTGGGAAACATATTAACGCTCCAATGTCATTCCTGTGAATGTAGCTATCCAACGATCCTAGCACCATTTGCTGAAAAGATGATTCTTTTCCCATTGAAGACTGGGGCCAGTGCTGTGGCACAGTGGGTTAAAGCCCTGGCCTGCAGTGCCGGCATCCCATATAGACACCGGTTCAAGTCCTGGCTGCTCTTCTTCTGGTCCAGCTCTCTGCTGTGGCCTGGGAAAGCAGTGGAAGATGGCCCAAGTGCTTGGGCCCCTGCACCTGCGTGGGACACCAGGAAGGAGCTCCTGGCTCCTGGCTTCAGATGGGCGCAGCTCCAGCTGTTGCAGCCATCTGGGGAGTGAACCAGCAGATGGAGGACCTCTCTCTGTCTCTACCTCTCTAACTCTTTCAAATAAATTAAAAAAAAAAAAGTGGCAGTTTAACCCACTGCATCACAACACCTGCCCTTTAAAAAAAAATTTTAGATTAACACATGACACTTGCACAGTTTTAAGAGGCACAATGCAACATTTCAACACACACAAACACAGCTTCAACTGACCATACCAAGAAACCAGCCTTTCCATTTCCTTATCTTAATGTCTGGAGCATACCAGCTTCCTCTTTTCTGGTTCCCGAGACAGGATATTTCACATCACTATCAGCCACAGGCAACCCACTGTGCTCCAAAGTACCAGAACCTCTGACATTCACCCAATTGTGTTTCAGTGCACCTTGCCAAGTCCCAAGCCCTCCAAACCTATCCAGCTATTAAGAAACCACTACTTTAGATTCAGAACATATGTGAGAGGAACATGTGGTATTTGTCTTTCTGTATTTGGCTTATTTCACTTAACACAATGATCTCCAGTTCTAGCCATTTTTCTGCAAATATATTTTTTATGAGAATATTTCCGTGCATGTACACATGTGTATATATATATGTATATATATGTGTGTACATATATAGAATGCTTCTGTGTGTACATATATGTATATACAGGTGTGTACATATATAGAATGCTATGTGTGTACATATATGTATGTATGTGTACATACAAGTGTGTACATATATAGAATGTATGTGTACATATATACATATATGCATATATGACACTTTACTTATCCACTGATGGACACCCAGGTTGAGTTCGTAGCCTGGTGACTGTGGACAGTGCTGCAGAGAACGCAGGGCTGAGGTCTTCATTTCCTCAGGACCTGTACCTAGAAGGAGACAACTGAGGGGTACACTAGAGCTGTTTCCACTTTCTGGACAAACCTCCAAATGAAGGTTCCCAGCAAGCAGTGTAGGAGTCCCCTCTCTCTGCATCCTCACCAGCACATGTTATTTGTTGTCTTTTTTGGTAACAGCAGTGAGGATACCTCATTTTGGATTTGGTTTGTATTTCTCCAGCAGTTAGCAATACTGGGCATTTTTCTCAGGTATTTGCTGGCCTTTTGCTTTTATTCTTTGGAGAAACGTCAGATTCCTTCCCATTTTTAGTTGGACTGGTTGTTTTTGTTATTGAATTTTGAGTTCCTTATTCATTCTGGACATTCACTGTCAGACAAATAGCTTGAAAATATTTGTTGATGCTGCTGGCTACCTCTGCACTCTTTGATCTTTTTTTCCCTTTGTTCTGCATAAATTTCTTAGCTTGATGTAATCTCAGTAGTGAACACTTTTGTTGCCTGTGCTTTGGGATTCTTACCCAGAAAGTTGTAGCCTATGCCAAGTTCTTGAAGTGTTTCTCCTTTGCTTTCTTCTAGTAGTTTCAGGTTTTAAAAATATATTTCTGATCCATTCTGAGTTGATTTTTGTGTAGGTTTGTGGGGTGGTCTTGTTTTAATCTTTTGCATACAATATCAAGTTTACCCAGTACTAGTTATTGAAGAGACTATTTACCATGGTACATTTTTAGCTCCTTTGTCAAAGATAAATTGGCTATAAATGGATACATTTACTTCTGGGGTTTCTGTTCTGTTCCCTTGGCCAGTGTGTCTGTTTCTATGCCAGGACCATGCTGTTTTGGTTACAATAGCTCTCTCCTGTGACTTGAACTCTTTCATTGTGATGGCTTGTTCTTAACTGCTGAAGATTGCTTCACCTATTCAATATCTTTTGTGTTTCCATATTAATCTCAGGATTTTTGCAGTTCTGTGAACAGTGTCGTTAGTACTTTCATGCGGATTCTATAAAGTCTGTAACTCTCTTTGGGCAATTATGGACATTTTAAACAATATTAATTCTGCAACCATAAACATGGGAGGCCTTGCCATTTTTGTGTATCCAGCTGAATTTCTTTCAGAAGTGTTTTTTAATTTTCATTGCAAAGATTTCACCTCCTTGGTTACATTTACTCCAGGGGGGTTCTGTTGTTTTGTTTTGCCTTTTGGCAGCCATTGTGAAAGGGACTACCCTGTCGCTCCCCCTCTTCGTGGAGGAACGACACAGGACCCTGCGCTGTTCTTTTGTCTGCTCGGCCCTCCCCGGGTTTGCTGCTGGTTCTTCCCGGGTTGGCTACCGTCCCTTCCACCTCCGTGGAAGGGCGGTTCCCTCTGCCACTTTCCCCACTTCCGTGGGGGAGCGGCACACCGCCAGCCGGCTCTCTCGGGGGCAGCACAGGTGTTCCTTCAGATAGATGTTCCTGGTGCATGTTG